GCTAGGATGGAGCTTCAGCACGGTCGTTCAACACTGATCTGAACAGACACTCACTAAAACCTGAGTCAGCATAAAACTACAACAGACTTTATGGAAAACAAACTGAGAGTGATTAAGAGAGGCAATTAGAAAGGGATGTGAATATGGGATCCTATCTGAACTAGGAAGAATTTTGGTTTATTATCTGGAAAGAGAGTTTACATGTACTGGAAAAAGTCATCAGTCACCAACCAGACTGACTTAACACAACAGGAAATAACTGATTGGTTTACTCAGTCTCACCCTCATGTACGAAAAAAGGGCAAAGCACCATCATGTGCTTTGTGTGAGGAACAGACAATATTTAAGACGTTGTTCACTAAAAATCTTTCGCCCAGTTCTCAAGTTTCATTCATACTTCTGCATATTCAAAATTATTCAAAAGTTATAAACTAATCTTGATGTGCCAAATTTGAATATATACAAAAATAAATGAGATTACTGCTATACATTTGTACACTTTATTCGTGTTATATGGAAAAGTGCAGCGTGAACAATTTAATAAACCACAATAATAAATGACTGAGATAGATATATAATAATTAAACATTTTAGGTATTACTGTAACCCTCAGATCACATCTTTAGCAAGAGTAGTGCATTCACGACACAGAATAGTGACTCTTCTGACCTTCAACTAAACTTCGAGACTGCTGCCCACTCTGTTAATGGGAAACAAGCATTATCATGGGAATCTAATCAGGCCGCTATTAAAGAGACTAATGCTCCTCCTGCCCTCTGGATTCCTCCACTTCCTGTGCTGCCAGTGCCAGCCTGAAGGGAAGTTTAACAGTGCTGTAAAGTGCAGAGGCGCTTCTGTCTGGCCCTGTTTCCTCATCAATCACACACAGATGCCAAGTCTCTCTGCCCAAGACAATACAAGTATCTTTAATTTGACAATATGAGTATCATTAGTTTCACTAAGATGATTGCTCACTAAAAAAAAAAAAAAAACACAGCCATCATGTTTTCAGGCCATTTCCAAGTTTGATTTTGACATGACATAAAATGGCGATATCTAAGTGGCTTAGCTGTTTACTTAGCTTTTAATCATCCTTCCCATAATTACCATAATTATTTTGTTCATTCAGACTGATTCGCGAACTCAGAACGCACACGAAAACGAGCAGGGATTTATTGTGTGAACCTATCATTGCCAATCAAAACCAATCATACCGCGATGAAAGCACTGCCACCTCTCACGTGACTTTCCTCCATTAATTCTTAATTACTCCCCACTAAACACAACTCATGCTTTAGAGACTCTGTTAAAACTCAATGGGGCTCAGGGGAGGCTCAACAGATGGAGTTTCCTGCTGTAACTTTACCTGCTGGTGTCACTGTAGTTTGTGTGTTACTTTAGAAAATGTGTGATTTGAACATTTTTCAATGTCATATTGTGTAATATTTGCATTGTTTTATTTTTTGTAATATGGGTTATTTTCTCATCTAATTTTTGAGGAGGCATTGCCTCCACACACACACACACACACATATATATATATATATATATAAATATATATATATATATATATATATATATATATTTTTAGGGATGGGCAACGATTAATCGCGATTAATCGCATCCAAAATAAAAGTTTGTGTTTACATAATATATGTTTGTGTAGTGTGTATAATTAATTTGTATATATAAATACCCACACATGCATGTATATATTTAAGAAATATGTGCATGTATATATTTTATATATATTTATTCACAATTAATATTATATGTAAATATAAATATTTGATATATTAATAACATATTTTTCTTAAATATATACATGCATGTGTGGGTATTTATATATACAAATTAATTATACACACTACACACACATATATTATGTAAACACAAACTTTTATTTTGGATGCGATTAATCGCGATTAATCGTTGCCCATCCTGTTATAGTGTTTTTTAGATCATTGTTTTATGAGTGACAATGTGTGATTGTTGGGTGACAACCTTTGCTAGTGTTATTGAGTTGATTTGAGACATCCATCAATTATTTTGGTAAATGGTAAATGGACTGCATTTATATAGCACTTTCACAGACCCAATGGCCACCAAAGCGCTTTACATCGGCCTCACATTCACCCATTCACACTCTCATTCATACACCAACGACAGACAGATTCTGCACAGGTCTATCAAGCCCATGACGTAACAAAGAAATAACAGAGCAGAGATCACTTTGGTCTCTCACTTTTCATTTGAATCAATATGTTAGTGTATATTTCCCTGAGGACAAAGAAACCTTACGTATTTGTGAGAAGGAAAGAGTCTCAGAGGGCCAGACGTAGAAGATACAGTCTGGCTTTCCACTCAGAAGCAGATTTTCTACTTCTGAAACTGCAGTGAAGTGATCGCCCTCTGAGACGAGCCCCTTTCCAAGGTGATGGATCTGTCCTCAAAGGACCGAGAAGCGAGACAGAGAAACAGATGCTCGGGGTGTCTGTGTATGCGTATGGTATTGCTCGATGCCAACACCCTCCCCGATCCAATCAGGACGCACGTTCAGTCCTGACCTTGAGCTAGACAGACACTTATAGCCCTCGCAGAGACACAAAAATGACTTACAGTCACTGTGTTTGTGTGTGTGCATGCTGTAAATTAGCAAGACATGCTTCAGTTATGAGCAGGTACAAGTGAGCAATAAATTGTGTGTTGAGTATAGTTACATGAGATGAGGAAACAGATAAAGACGTTTTACTTCCATTTACTGTTCAAAAGTTTAGGGTCAGTGAGATGTTATTATATGAGAAAATGAATGGCAAAAGACTAAAACTGGTGCCGTCTCACCTTCATTGTCACCAATATTGTCATAATTGACTCATTCATCTATCTCACAAAAGCAAGGATGTCCGAGCTGCTCTTTTTCATAAAACAAGACAGTAAGAGGTTGAGTAAATGATGCCATAATATTAATTTTAGGCTGAACTATCTCTTTAAGCTCTCTTAGATACAGATACATGCATTAGAGTCTTCTCACAGTTGATAATTACACACCGTCAGAGAGCTGCCACAAACCACAGCATCACTTTCACTGAGCAAACCTCCTGAACTATAACACCTGCTATTACACATGCCAGTTCACTGAACAGGGCTGGTTATGGCTCCTCGGATCGGCTGTCTGACTAGTGCCGAGTAATGTGAGCTTTGGGCACAGGCAGAACACCTCCACGAGAGAAACATAATTCACATCTGTTTGCATCGGTCACATTTGTTTTAGGGTTTCCTCCAGAGTTCACAAATTTCAGACATTTCAAATTGAAGCGTGAGAATTGTAAAATAGTCGTGATTGCTATTTGTCTATATAGGTATGAGTTGTTACTCAATTATATATTTTTTAAATTCAATTTCTTTGTTGTTTTATCGGACAGATTTTATGCAGTCAATAAGATTTTTTAGCGTTTTTCAAAGAAGTCTAAAATGCAGAAAAAAAAGTCATATATGATTACAATTTAAAATTAGGGCTGTAAAACGATTAATCACGATTAATCGCATCCAAAATAAAAGTTTGTGCATACATAATATATGTGGGTGCACTGTGTATAATTATTTTGTCTATATATAAATACACACACATGCATGTATATTTAAGAAAAACAAAATTATTTATATCTAAAAAAATATATATTTATATATAATATAAATCTATAAACAGTATATACATGAAAATATTTCTTAAATATATACAAGCATGTGTGAGTATTTATATATATAAAATAATTATGCACAGTGCACCCACATATATTATGTAAACACAAACTTTTATTTTGGATGTGATTAATCGTTTGACAGCCCTTTTTTTTTTTTAAAGAATTAAATTATATATATATATATATAAATATAATTTATTCCAATGATAGCAAAGATGAATTGGTCCATTCCTTCAGAAATTATTCTAATATGCTGATTTGCTGCTCAGGAAAAGTTTCTTATTATTATATCGATGTTGAAAACTGTTGTGCTGTTTAATATTTTCGTGAAAGCCGTGATGCATTTTTTTTTTAGGATTTTTTTGATAAAAAGCTCAAAAGAACAGCATTTATTTGACGTATTCATTTTTTGCAACAATGTAAAACTCAAATTCAATGCAATTCTTGCTAAATAGAAATATTCATTTTTCAAAAAATTACTGACCCCAAACTTTTGAACGGTAGTGTACAGTATAGTGAGAGAAACTAAGAGCCACAGAAAAAAAATATATATTTTATTTTAAAGTACTAAACTCAGAGCAAGTTACGTTTCAATCAATCAATTAATTAATTAATTGTAATTAATACAATTAAGTAAATTGTTTAGGTAATTATTTAAAAAAAACAGGCTAGTACCGTGGCTGAGAGAGCTCAACACGCAGCAACTACAGAAAACACATGCAAATAGAAAAACACCAGCAAATTAAAAAAAATCTTCATCAGTTTTACAACACATGTGCTCCAAATACTCACAACACAACCAAATACAGAAACGCGCTGCTAAATTTCACAACACAACCAAAAAAACCCTGAATATATAAATGTCCACTTTAACAACAAAAAAAAATAAAAATAAAAATAAAAAAGTACACAAAAGCCTAATAAATAAATAAATAAATACATTTATTTTAAAACTAAAACTAATAATAAAAATAATGCCTAATAAAATGATGGGATAAAATAAATAAATTTAAAAAAAAAGAACTAAACCTAACCTGAGAGTTGACCAAAGTGCAAAACGATAAATAAAAATATAGAAAATTTTGTTAATTATTTAAATATTTTCCTTAGGTTAGAAATTGTTGAAAGATGTTTTCATCCATTCCATCCCTTCATCTAATTACCAAGTTCAATCAGAATAAGTGATTAGGATGGCGCTCCCCTGTCGGTAGTTTTCAGGTTCAGCTAATTAACAGCATAACAGATTGGAAGCCAATGAAAGCTCTTTTCTGATGTGGAAAGAAACCCAGAAACACTCACCTTTCCAATGGTTTTAGCAGAGCAAGGGAGGACAGCAGGTGTATACTGCAGAGTTTCTGGATGTCCAGCAAATTCTGCTCAGGGAAGTCCTCGTCGGCATCGGCTGCGAGAAAATAAAATAAAAATCAATTAATAAATCTGGAAATTGAAAGACTGCACTGGGACTAAGTTAGTTTAAACGAACGTCATTTATGGCAACAATAAGGCATTGAGTATCTCTCATAACCTTTGGATACTTCAATCGTCGTACAACATTTATTTCATTACAAAACCACATGGGAATGTCTACGACTCGTTGCGCTTTTCCCGTGCCGGCTGGGACAGATATATTTAGAAGACTTCCAATTTCCATCTATATGTTAATGCAACCACGAGCAACAGAATCACAGTTTGAAATATTATGTGCCAAGCGGGGCATGAAATTGAGCCAGACAAACAAACAAAGGATTTTACCTCTCGAGCGTCTGATGCGTTTAATAATAAAAGATGCACTTGACAAGGTGAGAGAAAGCAGGTTCTCGTAAAAAGAGACAGTACATCCACTGTAATAACCATTTGGTGACACAAACAAAGCTGTGTGAGATCACTGTGACGGTCCTGGGAGAAAATTGAAAATGTATGTTTGCAATTAACTTTGCAAAATACTATAATCTCAGAAGCCTAATCTTTATTGCAAATAGAAACATTTTCCCATGGCTCTGACTCGAATTGCTATACAGATGCTGAGGTCAGGCAACACATTTATTTATTTATTTAAAAGGGACAGTGCATATTAATGGACATCTTAGCTTTTCAGCAAGCCAGAATTAGCCCAAAGGCTATTTAACACAGCTAAACATAGAAATTGAATGCAATTACTGAGCCATCTGACCAATCAGAGCAAAGGAGACTTTTGGAAAGGAGGGGTTTACTGTGAGAAAAGAGGTGATGCTGCAATGTATATAATGAGAAATTATGAGATGTGTTTTTGACCTTGGATGCATGTAAACCTATTAAAAGAGACTTCCAAAACAAAATAAGGACCCTTCAAAAATAGCATAATAGGAGCACTTTGAGCTTATCGGATGCAGGAACTGAATAATCAAAGCTGCATGTGATCTCCAGAGCAGGACTGAGCTGAGTCAGGATTCCTGGCCAAGAGAAGAGCCATGTGGAGCTGGCATGTCTCTGCCACATAAAACACAAAATGCCACAGATCTGCTAACTCTGCTCAGAGGCCAACTCTTTTCCATGTACAGACTCTGACCTAACTGTGCAGCAATGTGAGGAAACAACACGGACACAAGAGTGGAAAATGTCTTCTCTTTCCCATGACCAACAAGAAGGAAATGTGTGTTGATCAGATTAAAATCACTAAGATTCAGCGAATAGATCCTTCAAATGGTGCATACATATGCATCATATTTAGTAAATATTTGTTGTACTGCCTTTAATTTGGGCTGATTTTACAATATTGAAAAAGTCTGGGATTAGTAAGAGTTAAAAAAAAAAAAGAAATTCATCTTTTTTTGTCGAGGACGCATTTAATTGATCAAAAAGGACAGTAAAGGCATTTATAATGTTACAAAAGATTTCTATTTTAAATAAATGCTGTTCCTTTAAACTTCCTATTCATCAAAGAACCCTGTAAACAAAAATGTATCACCATTTCCACAAAAAATGTTAAGCGGCACAACTGTTGTCAACATTGATAATGATAAGAAATGTTTCTTGAACAGAAAATCTGCACCCAAAAAATGAAAATTATGTCATTAATGACTCATGTCGTACCTCCGTTCATCTTCGAAACAGTTTAAGATATTTTAGATTTAGTCTGAGTGTTTTCTGTCCCTCCATTGAAAATGTATGTACGATATACTGTCCTTGTCCAGAAAGTAAATAAAGACATCATCAAAGTAGTCCATGTGACATCAGTGGGTTAGTTAGAATGTTTTTAAGCATCGAAAAATACATTTTGGTCCAAAAATAACAAAAACTTTATTCAGACTTTATCCAGCATTGTATTCTCTTCCAGTTCTCTTGTCGATCCGCGTATACGAGTCCGCATGTAAGACGCTGCTGACGTGTATCTGGTGGGTCCGTGTGTATTCGGGTTCAAATAAATATGGCTGGGGAAAAATAATGCGAGTCTTCCTCTGTGTCGAAATACTTAGAAATATTTGCAAAGATTGTTTTGTTTACAGCATGTGTCTCCCTCAGAGATTGTAAACGAAGCTCGGGCGGACCAGAGAACACGTCAGCAGCGTCACTGAACGCGGCTTGACAACAGAACCGGAAGACAATACAATGTTGAGTAAAGTCGTAGTTTTTGTTATTTATACATTGATGTCACATGGACTACTTTGATGATGTCTTTATTACCTTTCTGGACAAGGACAGTATATCGTACATACATTTTCAATGGAGGGACAGAAAGCTCTCGGACTAAATCTAAAATATCTTAAACTGTTCTGAAGGTGAACGGAGGTCTTATGGGCTTGGAATGACATGAGGGTGAGTCATTAATGACATCATTTTCATTTTTGGGTGAACTAACCCTTTAAGAATGATTTCTGAAGGATTATGTGACACTGAAGAGAAGACTGAGTAATGATGCTGAAAATTCAGTTTTGACATCACAGGAATAAATTAAGTTTTTAAATATATTCAAAAAGAAAATAGTTCTTTTAAATTGTTATTATCTTTCTATTTGATTTAACTATATTACTGTTTTACTGTTTTTCTTTTACCGTGTCATTAATTTAAAAAAATGTACTGTTTTCAACATCGATAATAACAATTCTGCTGGAGTTGAATGCTGGAGGTGTTGGAGGAGCACTTGTCACATGGATTTAAGTGTCCCCAACAGCAGACTCAGAGCACTGAGAGACAACGAAGCCTCAAAGTCAAGGGTGGGCAGGAATGTCCTGAATAGATGGTTACATAAAAACCCTCAGCATGATGCTTTTTTCCAGGCTGCAGAGTTTAGCAAGAGTTGTTCTGTTTCGGCTCTTTCTGAAGTACAAACTTTCATAGCGATTTCAAGAGGAACGGTTAACAAAGGGGCGAAATCATCAGTGCATTCAATGCACTTCTTCATTTGTCTGAAGCTTTTATTCAAAACGTGTTTATAAGTACGAGTGTTCCCTATTCATCAATCCCACGATGACCATGCAGCTTTTAGCACCAATGCTTAACCAGTCACCAAGTTCAGCTCCTTTTCTGTTATTCGAGTTTTAGAAACTAAACTGTTTAATGGGATCATCATCAAGTGATATTCTGGTGATTGTCTAAAATGTATTATATCCTCATAACCGAATGCATTAATGGGGGCGTAATGGAGTCCTTTGGGTTCTGACTCATTTCACATGCCAGCCATCAACAGACAATGCATATTTAAACACTGCACTGTATAAATAAATAATAAAAAGGTATCTACACTTTTTTTTAGGGTCATGCGAAATAAGGCAAGTGAGCAACTGGAGGGCAAAAAGACAGGGTCATGGCACTAAAGTAGTGACCTGACCCAGATACTGTTTAACCCATGCAGCTTCCAGATGTGAAGGGGCCTCACTGTACTTTACATGCTTTATTTTTTAATGACGGCTCCTAAAATCAGCTCTGCTGTCATCCTGCAACCTCTCTGATTCCCTCGCCTGGTTTTTGCTAGAAATATAAAATATTCATTTACAAAAACAATAAGAGTGCCAATAATGAAAATAACAGGTTGAATAACTTATATACTACTAAAAACAGACCTTTTTAGTCATTTGTGATTGGTGGATAATGATTTTTTTATTGTTTTATAAAGGTATACACATAAAGAGCAACTTGTAAACAATGAAATCTAAGAAAAAAAATGTATTATATTCCATAATTTTTTAACACACGGTTGTCAAAATCACAATTTAATTTGTAAATTATGAGATACTTCTAGGTTTTCTATGCCCTTGTGATCCCTTTAAAATATTTTTGTTGTTGCTATTATTTGTTTGTTTTGACTGAAATGTGGGCAAAATGTTTTAATCATATTACGATTTAAATATCTTCGATAACTAGGCTATATGCATAACTATTTAAGTATTTCATAAGCATTTGTTTAGTAATCATTAGACCACAACATTACTAACAATAATCGTGACAATTAATAGCTACTGATGTAATTTATGAAATTAAAACTATTTGCTAAATAAATCGTCTCGTATTTGTTTTGAACAAATTCTAATTTTATTTCGAAGTAGTAGGCTAACATTACGAAAATGATTAATCTAATCACAAATTAATTTAATGCAAAGGTATTTAAAGTATAAAAGTTTCAAAGCTCCTGTATTTCTAAACTCTATGAATAAAATATCCACAAATTTAAGGTCATGTCTAATAAGTTAACAACAGTGTTGTGACATGCATTCTGTCTCTTCCTGTACAACAAAGTCTATAATTTCAAAAGTATATTTGGAATAAAAATGTTTCGCTTTTCATTTTTGATGCATCAATGTCCACATAATGCATCAGTCACGACGTGATTCCTGTCCACACTGATACGAGAGAATTTAAATGCAACAATGTAGCTATTGTGGCCATTGCATTCTTGTTAACCTTCCAATTTCTGTTACTGTCGGCGTTCCGTACAAGTTGCAAACTTCAATGCGCGGTCAAATTAATTGGCGACATCACGTTATTTAACACATTCAAAAAGTCAGACACATCCCAGGACAAACTATTTCAAGTTTCATCGGCCTAGCTAAGTCTTGCAAAATTACTAAAGATAAAATATGGATACAAAATGTCGTTGTCTACTGTACCATTTTGATCCGAGGTCTCTAGCATCGAAGGAGTCCGCGAAAACCTCCATTTGCCCAAAGCTTCCGCTCGCCTTACATGTTGGATTTTCACATTTCTTCAGTTATCCTTCCCTTCACTGTTTTTTCTTCTTCTTCTTTTTTTCGCCGTGCTAGCAGCATTCAGACAGACAAAAATGCAGAGGCTGCTTTAGCAGCAGCAATTGGTGATTGGAGCTCGGGGATCATATGGGCTTTTGTCAGAAGTTTTAAAGGGCCATTGCACTAGATTTTTTCCCCCGTCTGAGCTCTATTCTACATCTACAGATAAAAAATGACTGATCAGAACTGTCCTATGGGGAGATGGAGCATTGTCCCTCAGGTGCTCATGACCTTGTATCTTACATCACCTTCCCTTGCGCACAACATGCTAAATCCTGAAATCCATATCTCTTGTGTCCAAATGTGCACACTTTTCTACTATATAGGGAATAGAACGTCCAAATATGCAGTTTTCATGAAACAATAGGCAAACAATATCCGGATGACATATTGCACCTTCTGACATAATGAGTAACCAGTAGACGGAGGCTACAGGAGCTAAGGAACTAAGGTGAAGGAGAACTGTAATTTGAGGAGCTTCTTTACCACAATGTTTTTCCCTTTATGTTTAAACAGTTCCTTAACAGTATGAGTAGTATGCCTGGAAATACAGTGTTTACACTACACAACAATTTATCTTAACTGTCAATAAGTGAATTCTTAATCAGGGAATTCAGTTCATATTGTGAACGAACTTGAATTTGGATGCAGTAAAGTCAGTGCAAGTGGTCGTCAACCCTGGTTCTGGTGTACACCAGCAATTTGGGATGTCTCACCTGTTTGACACACTTGATTTAAATTAATCAAACCCACTGTAGTACAGGACAATCCAAATCAAAAAGCAAGCATACTTGTCGAGCCACTGTAGGTCAATGTTAACAAACAAGCCTGAAATGGACTTAATAATGTGCATTTGCAATGACTGTATAATGCATCATAGTCAACTTTGTGTACATTTGCACGAGTCAATAAAACTAAAAGAAAACGTCATCTCACAGAATACACATAATAGGCTTTCACAAACAAATGTAGTTTTATTTACAATTGGCAAGTTTCGTTTCTTATATTTAAATGGTGCATTAATAAGCAGCACTTGATACATTCAGCAAAGACTTTTTGTTTTTATGTACAAAAAAAAAATGCACATTAAAACAAAACATTAATTTGGCCAAAACTAAAAATTTCCCATCCATGTCTACCCTTGACTGCATGTTAAAATCCTTCCAAACATGACTGAGGTAAGTGGCTGTTTATATATAACCTTAGCTTTACAATTAAAGAGTTTCTATGCACATTTTCTTAGGAATAATAGAAAAATTTACCAGAATAAAGCAGTGACATTCATACATAGACTCAGTAGAACATATTACACATTACATATTGATACAGTGGACATCAAAATACATACTTCACAACACTTAAACTGAGTCTATCGTTCAAAAAAAGCATTTGAAGGAGGATAAGGCAGCTTATTGCTACTTCTTTTAAATTCAACTCAGCTGTATCGACTGCTTCGGCTATGACTTCGTTGCCTGGACGAACTGCGACTGTAGGAGCGATATGACCTGAACGTGAAAACAGATATCAAAGAATTAGCTTCAGTGAGGCACATTATCAAATTCACACAAAACAGTTGTGGTAATACGAGGATTTATTTATGATGTACCTGGACCTGCGATCAGAGCTCTCGCTTCTCCGACGTCCTCTTCTCCTGCTACGACTGCGGCTGCGGCTAGAATAACTATCGTAAGACTCAGACCTGTGTTTCCAGGAATGAAACACATAATGCAAAGAATAATTAAATAACACCAAGTTAAAATCAAAGTGCATTAATTAGGGATGCTCATATCGACCGTTTAACCGTTAACTTGGACCGATTAATACGATCAGTTAAACGGTTAAAAAATTAAAAGTTAATTTTTAATTAGTTTGCTGCACGATTAAAAAAATACTACATAGCCTATATTTGTTAACTCACGGGGTGCGCGCGTAACTTTTTAAAAATAAAAACTACACAAGGTGTGGATTGAGGTAGGCCTGCTATTTTTATTTGACGAACAAACGTAGTCTGACGGAAAGTAAATTGCCGGTTTTTCAAAGCTTCAGACAGATTCAGTGGTTTCTTTTTGTCATCTTAATTCGTGAATTAAGCTATTTAGTGTAGGCCTATTTTATGTTTTATAACGGGAAAATGAAATGAGCATCCCTAGCGTTAAAGGGTTAGTTCACCCAAAAATGAAAATTCTGTCAATATTTACTCACCCTCATGTTGTTCCAAACCTCTATGTGTTTATTTGTTCTGCCGAACACAAAGGAAGATATTTGGAAGAGTGTTTTAATCAAACAGATCTCATTCCCCATTGACTTATATAGTAGGAAAAAACATACAATGGTAGTCAATGGGGAATGACATCTGTTTGATTAAAACATTCTTCCAAATATCTTCCTTTGTGTTCGGCAGAACAAATAAACACATAGAGTTTTGAAACAACATGAGGGTGAGTAAATACTGACAGAATTTTTATTTTTGGGTGAACCAACCCTTTAATAATTTTGACTCAATGCTCACCTTGATGTGTCGCTACCTCTATACTGACTTCTAGAACGGCTCCTACTGTCTGTGTGACTAAAACAAGATCAAGTGGCATTTTAATTAATAAGGAACATAACACATTACACATACACTCCAAAGGGTTTAAAAAAAACATTAGACTGAAGCAGAGATAAATATCTTACCTACGATAACTTCGGTAGGTGCTACTTCGAGATCGAGAGTGCCCTCTACTGTATCTACTCCTGCTTCTACTTCTACTGTAGCTCCTGTGTGAAAACATGAAAACACATACAAAATTGACTTGACCTGAAAGATTGGACATATGTAGACAAGAAAACAATGCCAGTTGTAACCAACCTGGAAGTGTAGGTGTAGCTTCTGGACCTGCTCCTGGAATGGCTATATGAATGGGACCTACTTCTGCGTGTGGACCTGTGACTGGACACAGACCTTGACTTGTTCTGAGAGTGATTAAGGGATCCAGCTCTTTCTCCTGTTGTCGGAAGGGAGTCTTCTTCACTTGAGCTGTCTGGATTTCTGGGTCTCTGATTTAACCGAGCCGTCTTTCGTACCTCGTCAAAGAGGGATCCTGGACGGACTTTACTCTTGCTTTTGATCTCAATTTTGAGACCCTGAGCCTTTCCATCCAGTTGATCCTTCTGTTTGTTTATTTTCATAATGGAAGTCTTTGTACTGATGGCCTGCATAACATTCATGTCTTTCAAAGGTTTCCATTTTTTTTCAATTGCTGAGACAGGACTGTCACCAGGTAAAGTTTCCTCTGGCTGACTGCCATGAGATAAAGTAGGTCCAATAGTATTAGAGTTTCCTTTTTCTATTTGAGGTGGAACTAGCACACTACTATTATTCAGAATATTTTTCAGTGGAGAAATGCCAATCGCTTTGGGAGCTGGTTCCTGAACCTCTGGGATGCGCTCTGGAGAACATTTTTCAACTTTATTTGGGTCTCTTGGTTTGACTCTTGCCAAGTTAGTGTCTGAAAGATTGGTCTCTAGATCAGTGGATGGCTTTGGAATCTCTGGATGTCTTTGAGCTGAAATTGCAGTATTGCGATTTACCTTATTGCGATTAGTCATCTTCCCATTCTCATCAATACTTTTGGAAGACTCTACTGAAAACTTGTCTTCGATATTCCCTTTATCCTGATCCTTACTCGCTGAGACTTTGGACTTGATCTTTCCAGATTTTACATGACTTTTTACTGCATCACTGACAGAATCAGGATTTGCTATGTATAATTGTTTTGATTGAGTGACTGAATCATCCTCTTCCCCTTCATCACCAAACTCCAGTGGCGGCTGCCAGTGAAATGTCTCTTTTGGCTTCTGGTGCTTCTTGGATTTCTTTGCCTTGGCTCTGCGAGATCCTGACCTGGAAGAGTTCTTCCTTTTGTGCTTGTGCTTACGCTTGGCTTTTTTCTTGTGTTTTGAATTTTTTTTGTCTGCAGACTGTTCCTCGTTACTTTTGAATAGCTTGAGCATTTCTGTCCCATGGTTTGACCATAAAGGGTCATCATCCTCTGATTCTGAACTAGCCTCTCCTTCCTCTTTTTCAGATACATGTTTGGCATCACCACCTACCATTTTGTTTGGCATTTCAGGGTCACTCTCAGACTCCCAGCAACGAGCCAAAATCTGCCTCTTTTTTGTTTCAGTAAGTCCTTTCTCCTTAACAGGGATTTGGTTGTGTTCTGCAGCAGTGTTCATACTTGAGTTCTCTCCTTCACTTTCCCATCCTGATACATTGTTGTTGTTTGGTTCTTTCCTTTGAATGGGGTTCTTGCTTTTCATTGCCATTGCTTGTAGATCTGACAGACAATCAAGAGTGTTTCTCTGTACCAAGGAATCATTGTGTCCGTGGAGAGGACTGTATGGACTATCAGATAAATCCTCTGAGGAAGCAGATGTATATTTGGGGACACTGCCATGATTTGCATGCTTGTCCCTATTTTGGCCATTTTTGTAAGAACTACAATGTTTTCTCTTTTTTTCGATGGATCTTTCTTTGTTTGAACCATATGATTCTGACCTAGTGCAGGAGGAAGTTTGGCTGCCGTACTGACTCTGTGATTTGCTGCTGCTTCTTGATTGACTACGTGACCTGCTTCTAGACAAACTGCTTTGCAGGAGCCTATCAGGAACATTATTGTTACTGCTGCTGAGGCCTTTGTGACTAACAGCTGTGTCTGACTTTGAAGAGGACATTTTTTCCAGAGGTACATTTGATGATGGGCTGATGAGTGCATTAGAAGCTGGGGCTGATTTTACATTACTCTCTTGGATGCGGACGTAAGAGGGTTTCCAGGGTTTCTGGCCTGGTTTCCATCGAGAGGGAGGTGGACTGTCACTCAAAGGCAAAACAGAGACACTCTCTGAAGATGCTGCTGCTGGCGCTTTGGATTCTTCACCTTGAACCGATCTAGGGACAGACTTGTCTAATTTGGAAATACCACCCTCTTTAGGCTTTGACTTTCGAGGGGATCTCAACTCCTTTCTTTTCCTGGAACGTGGTGGGGTTTCTGAACTAAACCTAGACTTTGAACTTGTTCTTGACCTTGTCCTGTATCTAGATCGAGAACGGGACACTGAC